GCACTGTCTGACGCGTCTGCCTCCGCGACCCGAAAGGAGAAGCGGCGATGGAAGATGAAGATGAAAATGAACAGGTACAATGTTTCAAACATACAGCAAAAATTATGCTCCGCATATGTTAAAAGTTCGTAAATTATGATGGTTCTTTCTCCATCGATTAAATGACATGCCAATGAAAAACGCCGTGAATACTAAATGACATCGGCTCACTCTCACTCCGCGGTTGCTACCTCTCCTTCAAACAAAGAACGAGGGAAAAAATGTGCTTTTCAAAGACTGACTGTTACTTAAAAACAGCAATAAAACAGCAAATATAAATGGCTGCTTTTACTTTGTTCGCTCACAGAATACATGGAAGAGCGCGACCTGCTGCGAACAAGCTCCATGGCGTCTATCGCGTCGCTTGAGGGTAAACATAGCTCGATATTGGATATTCGGCACACCGTCTCAGATTTCGAAGACTATATAATAATGAGACATTAAGCTGTATCGAAAGAAAAGTTGAAGTGCGCCAAACAGCGCCTGAACTACCGATCGCGACATCTGCCTATTTAGGTAAGCCTTTTCGGAAGGAGCCAAATCGAAGGGTGTCAAACCCAAAGAGCGGCAGATGGAGTTGCAAATATGCGAGTGGAAGAACAACGCCATTCCACGGGTGCCCAGGTTTCCGTCGCCGTAACCTAAACAGAGCAAAAGGTCATATTTTTAAAGACAGAACGATACACTTACGGTCTAAGTGACTGCATTTGCAGAGGGGAAAGGATTGTCTGAACCTCAAAGTGATTAGCTAATGAAAGATGCACAGAATTCTTAAACGCCCGTTAAGGAAAACCTGCTTAAAAGAAACTTCATTGTGTTTCCAATTCGTCAAACAGAAGTATTTACAAAACAGACAGATGATCTGTTTCACGTAACAATTTTGGACCCAAAGTAAATTTCATCGAAATCGCACAAACAATTTGAGTTCTAGGAACTTTGACCATACAATAACTTTCTTCTTTAGAACAAAAAAGCATCACTTTCGTACAGAAATAACAGATAGTACAAAGCGTTAAGAGGCAAGTTCGAAGTTCATTGGCACTGTTCAGCAGTTCTCACATGACTCCCTTATCAAACTGTCGCAGTGATTACACAGTTGGATAGTATTTTATGCTATGTGCAATGATTGTTTGATCACGAACTGGACCTTGTCTATCTCGCTGTCAATCAGAGAAATATTAACACCCAATAATTCATGGTTATTTCCTGCGACATAGGTAACGAAAAAACAGTCCTCGGTAGCATCTAGCCTCATTTAGGTTGAATAAGTGCAATAACCAATATTAACGATCTAATAATGGGAATTTTGTCCTCTATTAAGATGGACTGGATAAACAAGTTGCAATAATTCGTTTCATCCATACCGTTTCGCACATTTCAGGTGACAGTGAAACACTGTTAATGTTGATTTTTCTCCCCATGATTATTCTACCGCACGTGGAGTAACGTCGGCTCCTCTGATTGGTTCAATGCTAGGTAGAAATGTGTTTCTGTCAAGAGGATTATTCTAACGTCCATTTTAGGAGGATATTTTGCATTTTCCTCTGCAAAGCAGGTTTAACTACCTATTTAAATACCTTCTTCAGTGACTGACTCACGTTCTTACCCTTACCCGACGGACAGATGGACAGACTGAATAGTTGACGGGTCAACTGGTCAACTGACATGAACATTAAACACTGCTGTTTACCATGTCCATTAGAGGTGTGTATCTGTGGGTCGGTGTACAGGTCGCCGACGCCCTGGATGTCGACGACGATCATCTGGTGACCGCTTCGTTCGAACGTGAAGTGGCTGAAAGTCTGCGGCGTCTGGCGGCAGAGCGAAGATACGAAGCCAGAGTTAGAGTTGTACTTCACGTAGTCGCCCTCGATGTAATGTTCCATGTGAAACAGTGGAGACCCTTCGCGATTGACAAACTCCAACAACGACACTTGAAATATGTCGACCTAAAAACAGCCGTCAACGACAACTTAGAAAAGAAAAAAACACAAAACAAAGAGAGGCGGCCAGAGAAAACCTTTTTCGGTGGGTTGTGCCGATTGTATTCCTCGCTCCACAGCTTGGCATCCATCTGCAGACGAACGTCCTCGAAGTAGACTTCCCGATCAGCGTCCGATAGGTAACGCTTGGCAACATAATTCATTGCCTTCTCCCAATCACCGGAAACTTCAGAAGAAGCATTTAATTTCTTCAATCTGTAACATTCCCGCATCGCTCCTCTATCAAAGGCCTAAACAAAAAACAACAAATACAAACAGAAATATAGCCGGAAAAACGTCGATGACAAGTTGACTCGATGAAGCGAACTGACAAAAGTGGACCTTTAGTCTCAGGAATGAAAACGGATTCATGGCTATCCAACTAGGTATTTTATGATTCCATCGTGCGAATGCGCATCTGTATATAAATTATATGCATGATTTAATTCCTCGGGTTATACATCGCTTGAAAGCCATGTGTGAGCACAATATGAAACCTTCGTCATAAGTGTCAATTTAAGAACTTGCATCTTTATCACTTCGACGATTACAGAAGCTCATGAAATCAGCGCGAGTCAGCACAGTCGCGAGTTTGGTTGAATCCTCGTTCTAAGAGTGACAACGTTGCCCCTTTCTCCTGAGAAAATTTCCCTCAGTTTTTTGTTAATATGTATAATCAGAATAGCGACTTATTATTCTTCAAGTTTCTTAATAAACGATTACGTGTATAAGAACTTTACATACTACTTCACTATTATTAATGTTAAGTAATCTTTGTACCTTTTTAAGATAAAGGAAAATTAAGTCAGTATTATTATACAGAATATTATTTTTGAAATTTCTGGTGTCAAAAATTGATTTAAAGCAACTTATTCTACGGCTTGTGATATTAACGAGATTAACTGCATAAGACTCATTAAAGAAGCTTTATTTTAAGAAATTCATCACTTCAGGACTCCGTCCGTTAAACTTATTTACATTTATTTAAATGATTATGTGAATTTAAGTTAAGATATTTATCAGTGTTACACAGTTCACAATCAACTTCAGTTACATGGTAATTACCAGAATCTATTAAGAGATCAGAAAATATAGACCAAAGGTATTTTTTTCTTTCGATATATTTTCATGGAACAGTCCTCTGAGAATGTCCAATACTTTATTTTAATTTCCAGTAGGACCGATGGCAAAATACGATCAAAATATCGTGTGAAAAATCTTAGAGAGAGGCTAAAGTTCGTGTCGCAAGCTAGCAAACCCAGTGTATTACATGAAAATCCCGGCAAAGTTTGGAGAAAGTTGGTGACCAGTAGGTGTCTCTTTGATCTGTTTGAAGAACCCTCATTGAAGGAGAAATAGTTCACCTTCAAAAAGCAAAAATTTAATTTTACTACAGAATTAAATAACAGATTAGTAAGCAGTTTAAGTGAATTATCTCCTAGAGGAAGTTTTTCATCCAAGGTAACGCTAACTATATTTGTTAGAATGTTAGTAAACATCATAAATGATCATAAAGCACCTACAACGGGCTTAATCTGTTTCAGTTCCTTGCAGAACTCGTGCGAACTTTTCGTGTGATAGGTTTCTTGCGGTCAAAAGATAATACTTGATTAAGTGAATCGGAATAACCTGATTGACCATACTGTTTGCGCTGTGCATAAAGAAACCGACTTTTCAGTATGACAAGTCATTTTAACTAATAAATTAACATATGAATTAGCATTAGCATATGAATACATTTTTTATGTTGCTGGCAGTGCATATAAGAGATACTGATGGTGAAGTGTAGGAAACTGTTTTAGGTACAAAGTGATGTCATGTATACATCGACGCGTTGCTGGAGAAGTGGCCTGCTTAAATGAGCTTTTAGGCATTCAGGAGCATTAGAGATTAAACAGGACCGCGCAACCTCCTTAGTAAGCTAAACGGTGAATTATAAATTTTTTATTGAAGAATGTTCCTTAACCAGACGTCGGAGGTACGTTGAATTACATGGTGCGTTACCAGGACCAGAACTCACCAGAAGCACCATCTTCACAAAGTCACAAGGAAGGCGGTCCAGCAGACAGCAGACCAAGTGACTCAAATGTGGGAGTGTCACGTTTTGCAATCCAGACCGGTGACCTTGTTATTTACG